CCCCCCCCCCCCCAGCCCTTACTGGCCCCTCCAGTCGGCAATTTTGTCCTCCCCCCCCAGTGAGGTCCCTGAGAACTACCTGCAGTAGGTGGTCAACCAGCAATTATGTATCAAAGTGACAAAACGATGTTAAGTTGCTTGTGATGTTACTCTGAGTGTATATCCATACCGGGCAAGCTTGAAAAATATGCCTGGCCACGGTGGGAATCGAACCTACGACCTTTGGAATACCAGCCCAAAGCTCTGCCAACTGAGCTACGTGGTCAGGTCGGTTCGAATAAGTGATATTTCTGAACAGAATCTAGTTCCTTCGATATCAATGTAATCTAGTAATCATGATTTTTTTTGTGTTGATGTGATGTACTCAGGTGAATATGATGCTTGTGATGTTACTCTGAGTGTATATCCACACTAGTCGTAGGTTCGATTCCAGAGGTCGTAGGTTCGATTTCTACCGTGGCCAGGCATATTTTTCAAGCTTGCCCGGTGTGGATATACACTTTGAGAGTAACATCACAAGCATCATATTCAGAGTACATCACATCAACACAGAAAAAAAGTCATGATTACTAGATTATATTGATATCGCAGGAACTAGATTCTGTTCCGAAATATCACTTACTCGAACCGATCTGACCGCGTAGCTCAGCTGGCAGAGCATTGGGCTAGTATTCCAAAGGTCGTAGGTTTGATTCCCACCGTGGCCAGGTATATTTTTCAAGCTTGCCCGGTGTGGATATACACTCAGAGTAACATCACAAGCAACATATTCACCTGAGTACATCACATCAACACAGAAAAAAAAATGGTTACTAGATTACATTGAGGTCGAAGGAACTAGATTCTGTTCCGAAATAACACTACTCGAACCGACCTGACCGCGTAGCTCAGTTGGCAGAGCATTTGGCTAGTGTTCCAAAGGTCGTAGGTTCGATTCTCGCCATGGCCAGGCATATTTTTCAAGCTTGCCCGGTGTGGATATGTACACTCAGAGTAACATCACAAGCATCATATTCACCTGAGTACATCACATCAACACAGAAAAAAAATCATGATGTTAAGTTGTTAACATTTCTGAATTTGACCATCATCTGCACGCCTGTAACTGGCTATGAGTCAACCGAGTCAGTTGACTCGGTAGGCCAGAATTTGGGGACTGAAATTTAAACATCGCCAGAAACCTAAACCATGACTGAAATAATTTGCTCATGGACCAAAGCATGAAATGGCATTTTAGGATGAAATTCTAGTTTAGTTTGACACTGAGAAGACGAATGCGTCAATTTCAAGTACCCCAATACATTTAATGCAGTACTGTAGAATTTGAATTGTGGTGAATGATAATACTATACCACACACATTTTAATTACCGCATCATCATTAACATCACACCATGTTGCCTTATTGGGACTGCATTACATTTGGGAGACTGTGAAATTGCAGTAATTGTGTCACTGTTTATAAGGTTAATTTCTTGTTGGAAAACTCAAAATGCGGGAAATAGCTTATCTGAGCTTCAAGAAATCCAACATTTTCTGGGGGGTATGCCGCAGACCCCCCTAGAAGCTCGCACCTTCGGTGGTCTACTCGGTTGTCTCAGAATCCTAGTTATGGCCTGATCTACTGCCCATGACGTATACATATTAGTTAAATCATGCATATATATGCTGGTAGCTGCAGTGATACAGACTTGCCGACTGGAACTTCTCCAGGTCCCCCACTAAATATGTCCCCTCCAGTTACACATCCTTAAAAGAGGCCCTGAATTTTAATTGCACCATTTGAATAGCTATTGACTATTGTAACACAGAATTATTTGGCAACAGAAAAATAGAACGCTGGTATCTTTCGGCTTTCTGAAAGGGTGGGCCATAAATTTTTGCGGTGCAGCTATTAAGGGGTGGGCTACCAAAAGTGCAGACACCAAATATATAATCCCCCCCCTTCTACTTTATGACCGGTATTTCACAACGATAAATAGATATATAATCATGCATTTGCATGCAACCACGGAACGAATGGAAGGTTGAAGATAAATTATATTTATGAAATCAATGTAAAGAAGAAATAAATTGAGTTAGAAAAAGAAAAAGAAAAAGAAAAAGGAAAAATGAATTTTATAGAAAAAAAACTACGAAACTCTTGCCCGGAAAAATACAAGAAATTCACCGGGTAGTGTGTATTTTTCAGTCAAGATCCAAACAATGAAATCTATTACTTCAACTTTGCAACTGGAGAAAGTATCTGGGATCATCCTTGTGATGATTACTACCGCGGCATGGTTGAGGAGGAGAGAAAGAAATTAGAAATGAGTGGTGGAACTGTTTCGAAGAAAGCAGTTGAGAAGAAAAACATCAAGAAGAAGAAAGACAAGAAGGCCAAGACTTTGGATTTCCCTGATAAGGTCTGATAAGGTTTTTGTTTATCCTTTTTGAACGTATAATGGCGGCACCAGTAGTTACTGTTAATAGTAGAATTTAGTGAAGTCAACCTGCTTTTGCAGAAATATTGGTAATTCATTAAATGCCTTTTATTCATTGACAGCGAGTCGTCCTATGCCTGTATTCATTTGCTGGTTAAGTTCCCATCAATGATCATTGAATTGTACATGTTTTGGGAATCCACAGCTTTACTGGTATTTTCGCACACAAATTATTTTTCGTTTTGGTGTAACTAAAGTTCTCAATACGAGCTATTCAAGACATGATATTTTACCATTTAACTATATTAAAGGCCAAGGGATTATTTAGATGCTGCATTTTTGTTGCTCAGCTCAACAAACCTTAACGATTTTTGAAGTTACATTTTTCATATATCATGCGGAGCTCCCCCGGCCTGACCGGATTTTTATGTACCGGATGTAGGTTTGGGTTTTCGCTTATTGGTTATTGGTATATGAGTATAGCAATGATCACCACAACCTCGTTCCCGAAGAGTGAATTAGACCCTGCATGGGTACGAGGTTGTGATCTCCATGTCCATTAGTGTAACATATTCTAGCTTTTAACATTTTCACTTATCTTCTAGACAAACAAAACTAGCCTTGGATCTTCTCTTGGTCCTCTAAAGACAGACGCTCTGGCTCCATTGCGAGGACAACCTGGTAAAGGATTAGGAAGTTCTCTTCCAGCTCCAGTTGGTGGACTTAAACCGTTGAATAGTTCGTTGGGAACAACTTTAGGAGACACCAAAGGAGTACAGTCTTTAACCAATAAATCACTGGGTAGTCTGAAACCGGTAGGTATTGTAAAGTAAATATTATTAATAGTTTTAGCATATATGATTAAGTACTATACTTTATTATATAAACGTAAGTGTTATATAGAGTTTTTGGCCACTGAGGAAAATCGTATTTAAACACACGTAAAAAAATACGATATTTTTACGTGTGAAAATATCATTTGTTGTAAAACGCATTGCCACGGACGTTTTATTGTTTTTCACTGAATTTTGTTTATATAATAAACAGAAAAATACATGGGTGCTTGGAAATACCAGATTTATTTCTCGTGTTGAACATGATATCTCATGATGCTTGTGATGTTACTCTGAGTGTATATCCACACCGGGCAAGCTTGAAAAATATGCCTGGCCACGGTGGAAATCGAACCTACGACCTTTGGAATACTAGCCCAATGCTCTGCCAACTGAGCTACGCGGTCTGATCGGTTCGAGTATGTACATATTCACCTGAGTACATTACACCAACACAGAAAAATCATGATTATTATTAGATAACATTGATTTCGAAGGAACTAGATTCGATTCCGAAATATCACATCCTCGAACCGATCTGACCGCGTAGTTCAGTTGGCAGAGCATTGGGCTAGTATTCCAAAGGTCGTAGGTTCGATTCCCACCGTGGCCAGGCATATTTTTCAAGCCTGCCCGGTGTGGATATGCACTCAGAGTAACATCACAAGCATCATATTCACCTGAGTACACTACACCAACACAGAAAAATCATGATTATTAGATTACATTGATAACGAAGGAACTAGATTCGGTTCCGAAATATCACATCCTCGAACCGACCTCACCGCGTAGCTCAGTTGGCAGAGCATTGGGCTAGTATTCCAAAGGTCGTAGGTTCGATTCCCACCGTGGTCAGGCATATTTTTTAAGCTTGCCCGGTGTGGATATACACTCAGAGTAACATCACAAGCATCATATTCACCTAAGTACATTACACCAACACAGAAAAATCATGATGATATCTCATGTTCAACACTCGAAATAAATCTGGTATTTCCGCGCACCCATGTATTATTCTCTATGTATACAGCATTAAGCGGCCGTATTGTATCAGATATACAAACTAGACCTGAAGGCGAGTGGTTGTATGTCTGATACAACACGAACGCGAATGCTTTATATAGCTTGTGCATATATATAATATATACATGGCTATATATATAATGATGCATTGCTTACAATTTAGTCAAAATTACTGATGCAGCTCAATGTTTGGTATGGTAATGGTAATGGTTTATTAACACATTTAGTAGTAGTGACGCTAATTTACAATGTGTTTACAAATTTGGGTATAAAAAGGTATATGTATATATTATATATTTACATGTCATTCATTAAAATTAAAGTTTTACTAATCTATATCTATTTACAATATGTATAAAAACTACTAATGCATACCTATTTGTACATTGACTGATAACATTTTAAAAATTATGATCCTAATCAACTAATCTAGAATTATATAAGTATATACAGTAAACTAAAGGACTGTGTTTAAAACGTTCGGTTTTAGAGGGGAAATTATATAATTTCTGACTGTTAGTTCTTGTTTCTTTTTGCCTAATGTATTTTAGTCTCTTTGGTAAGAGGCTATGAAGTTTATGGTTTGGTTCCAGCATTTTTTTAATTAGAGATACACATAATTCGTCCCTACGTTCTTCCAAAGTTTGTAATTTTGTCTCAGTTATTGCTTGGTCGTAGTCTAGGTTTGGGTAAATTATTCTAAGTACTCGTTTTTGAATTCGTTCAATGCTCTTTTTCTGCTCTTGGGTTAGACCTCCGTTCCAAATCTCTGCACCATATTCTAAAACAGGACGAATTACCGAACAGTAAAATGCTAACAAATCATCCATGGGGGCACAATAACTCTTCAAGATCTTTAATAAAAACAGACGCTTGGCCGCTTTCTTTGTAATATATTCCGTATTAGTTTTCCATTTAAGATCGCAATCTAACCATATTCCCAGTAACTTATATGACTTCGTTCGAGAAACATTATGACCACCAACATAAATTGGGGGTATAGAGTTTATATTTTTCCTAAAGTCAATAATCATCTCCGTACACTTTTTATAGTTTAGTTCCATTCCTTCGTCCTTTGCAAACTGTACCACCTTGTCTACGTTCATTTGAGTATTACCGATTGGGATGCCACCTAAATGGTCACTGACATTGATTACTTCCGATAATGTTGTGTCATCCATAAACATCGCTACGTCCTGGTCTTCTACGGCATTACATATTTGTTCTTGGTTATTGGGTATAATAGACGTTGGTAATTGGTTTATTTTTATTATAAACGCAATAGGACCCAACTTACTCCCTTGTGGAACGCCTCCCTTGATTCTTTTACAATCAGACTGTTCTCCATGGAAAGACGTTACTTGTGATCTGTTATAAAGATATGATGCAAACCAACCAACCACAGCTGGACGAACGCCGATTTGCATAAAATTTTCTAGCAGCACATTATGATTGATCAAGTCAAATGCCTTTCGAAAATCAAGAAACGTAATACGAACAATTCTTTGGGGGCTTTCCATTGCCATATGCCATTTATGTAACAAGTAAATCAACGCATGTATTGTAGATGTTCCATGCAGGCAGACCGCCAAATTGACTGCTACTGATTTTATCATAAACATCCTCATAAATCCAATCATTAACGTATGATTCTTGTACCTTTGATAATGTACTCGTTAATGAAATAGGTCTTAAAAGGTCTACCCTAGAGCAGGGTTTACGTTTAGGAATCCCACACACCCTCGAAATTTTCCAAATATCTGGGAATACTCTGCAAGTAAATGATTCGTTAAAGATGTAACATAACGGCTCGGCGAAGTATTTTGCGAATGTTTTTATTATCTTTACATTCGGGTCGAAAGGACCGCTTGCTTTATTCGGGTTAAGTTTACTCAACTTATTTGCTACACTATCTGCGGTGATGTTTGGTAGTTGTTCTTCCATTCCAACATTAAACCAGCTATCATGTACTTCCGAGTAATTACTAGTAAGACTAGTAAAATATTCGTTCATCAGATTAGCTGTGTCTTTTGAATTTAGTGGGGTATCAGACTGTGGGCCATTTAGAATAAATTCCTGTTTACTCTGTCCAGTAATGTTTTTTATATTTTTCCACCACTGCTTTGAATTGGAACAACGAGCAGGTTTGATTTTTTCACTGTAATATTTCTGCTTCTCTTTCCGAATTTCTGAGGTAATTTTATTACGAAGCGATCTGTATTCTTCCATTCTCCCACGTTGGTACATTTTATTTCTGTTAGATATCATTTGTTTAATCCTCCCAGTCATAAAGGGTTTGTCATCTTTATGGACCTTGACAATTTTTGTTGGAAAACAGTTATCAATCATTGCATTAGTAATCGATAAAAAGGCGTTCACTTTGGTGTTAATACACGAGGCCTCGTAAACCGCTGACCACGTCTCTAGACCGATAC